CCAGGAATAACCCCTCTACATTGCCGGGTGTGACCAAAAAGTGAAGGAAAAAAAAAGGTGGGTTCAAGTTAGACGAGAAACAGTGGGCGTGGCTAGCTGAAGGCATTTGACTTCGGAGAGGCAGGATGCCTATGTGAGTGAGGAAGCAGGTCTGTCCACAGGGGCCCTGCCAGCTGCTCAAGCAGAGGAAGTCCATCCTGAGAGAGAAATGTCCCTGCCCCTGCCCCTGCACCCTTCTCTGCTCAGCTGCCTTTGGCCCAGCTGTCATGAAGGGAGAAATGTGTGACAGCTGCACGCTGTGGGCCTGGAGGGAGCAGGGCCCGTTCAGGAGAGCAGCTCGGGCTCCAACTCCACCCAGGGAAGCAGGGATCAGCTGGGGACTTTTCCCTGTACAGCTCCTTCATGCAGGGCCTTAGCTCTGGGGTCTGCCTCCACAGCAGCTGACTTCTGCGGTTTCAGAGCTGCTTCTGAAAACAAGACCTGTTTATAGAGATGAAGCAGGGTCAAGTCAGAGAAGCCCACTCCAGATTTGGCAGCAGCAGGGCACTGCCAACAGCATGTTAGTGTAAAGCTCGTCTCTCCTGGTCTCTCCTGGGTTCCACACCCAGGCAATGTGCACAGCCCCGGTTATTGGAAGGGAAGTGCTTGAATTAGTTGGAGTTGACCATTTTTGCTGTGGTGTCAATACTGATCTCAGCAGAGATAATAGTTAGTCCTCAATGTGGTGATTATACCATGCTAAATGCATCACCTTAGTGAATCTTCATGGTCACCCTAGGAGATGGACTTTTCCCTCCCTATGGGTAGGGCGTTTTCCTTGCATGTGGCTGACCCGGGTTCCATTCCTCCATCCCTCTTGGAGAGCCCAGCAACCTACTGAGAGTAACCCACCCATACCACAGAGCCTGGAAAGTTTCCTGTGGCGTATTTGATAGGCCAAAAACAGTAACAAGTCTCACAATGGAGGGATTACTGGTGCCCGCTCGAGCAAATTGATGAACAACGGGAGGACAATGCTACAGTACTATTTCACAAATCAAGAAACAAGCTCAGAGCTTGCTCAACATAGCTGAGAGTATCCTAGAGTGTATTCGGCTTCAGGGATTTGTTTGTAGTGTAGAGGTCCTCCTTCTGTAGCTACATCTTCTTGCAAAGTCATTTTTAAAATATTTAAGCAGCACCTTTAGATATCATGAAAATGATGAAAGGAAAGATCTTCCCGCAGCAGTGCCTGCATCTTTGCATGTGGCCTGTGAATCAAGAGGTGAGTGTGAGCTGGTTATCCAGGACAAAAGGCTGGTCATAACTGGGTCAGAGCTTCTCAGCTGGTCTAAGCTCCAAAATCTGAATGGAAAATAAAATTCATGAATCCTTTCACTCAATCCATATTGATCAGACATCTCCTGGGGGCAGAGATCTGATGGCCCATGCAGATAGCACATCAAACATGTGCAGGATTGAAGGGCACAGAGGTTAAACTAGAAGCCCTAATTCTGGCTGCTGTCCTGGGGTGATGTGCTTCATCGGGGGAATAGAGCACAGACGTGGACATCAAATACTATCACAGGGGAATGAGTCAGCAAAGTGTCGATCATAGAAGTGCTTGGAAGCTTAAGGCCCAATAGAGACCTTGGTAACTCATTGCCTGAAAACCAAAATTGTGACGTTCTGGCCATGGGGTTATTGGGGTGTTCAAGCCAAGACTGGGAGATCGGGGAAGGGGTGCTCTTAAAGGGCCCAGGCATCCAGTGGGAGAGATGGAAGACCTTCCCATCTGTGAGCTCCTGATGCATGGAGGGTGGTGGAAGAGGGCCCTCAGCATGTTTGTGTACCCAGCCAGCTCCGGAACTGCATCTGTGCAGCAGGCACCAGGAAGCAATGCCCCTGCCCTTGCCACCCACATCCCACACATGCCCCAGGATCCCAGGACACTGATCGTGAGAAGAGGGGGATTAAGAGTGTTTGGTTTTGTGCTTTTGCCCAGACCATGTGGGACGGGTTGGCTGAGGTTTCCTTGAAAGACATGACTCAGTGATGGTACTTGGGCCCTGCCAGGGTCTCTGGCTCTTTCATCAGTGACTTGTCATCTTTGGGAGAAGGGAGGTCCACTTAAGGGAAATGGCCATGGAGAGACAAAAGCGACCTTTGCTCTTCGTGCAGATCTGAAACCCTGATTTCCTGTGGGAATAATTCTTCACTCTTGGCCCAAGTGCAGCATCCTTTGGGTCCACGTCGCTTTCAGCAATGGGTGGGCAGGAAAAGCTAGTGGAAGAGCCCAGTTTTCCATGCGGCTTGATCTCAGCAGAGGGAGCCCAGGACAGCAGGTGAAAGTTGTGGGGGCCTGAATTTTCTAGAGTCACCTGCTGTGCCAAACTAAGCTTTATTTCCTCAACCCTCTACTCCAACACCCACCCCAGTTGTGCCCAAAGAAATGTTTTGCAGTCAATGACACCAAGACTGAATTTCAAGGGCGAAGTCAAAGAAGACTGGCTGGGTCCCTGGAGCTGGCTGGAGCTGGGGAAAGTGCTCAGTGGTCAGTGACACGCGGGAGGACCAGGAACTCTGACCAGTGACAGACTCTACCTGTACCAACTAATGCCAGAAAGGGAGGAGTTGGGGGAAACGGAGACCCAGGGAGAGAAGGGACTGACAGAGGGTGAGATTTGTCCTCAGCCTGGTCCTCTTGAGACACCTAACACATGTGAGGCTCGTGCGGGTGATATGCTCAGGAGACTGCTTCTCTAGCCTATGTTTCCCCCTCCTGCTCAGGTTGGGCTGTGATGCAGTCATTACTAGGGGACAGTCTTTAAGACTCAAGGTTGATGCAGAGTTCTGTGGTCCCAGGCCTTACTTCCCTCACAACAAGTTGGCAGCAGTGCGCCTTACGGTACGCAGAGCTCTTTGGGCCCAGGTGGCCCTGACAGAGCAGAGCCAGGATTCCCACCACAGAGGAGCTTTCTGCACAGGATTGCAGTGGGGACTGCAGGGGGAAGGAGAGTTAAGGAAAAGAAAGCTTTGAGCCTGGGTCTGTCCTCTCGACATAGGCTCTCTCTCCCCTGAACCCAGCAGCAGCCCGGCCCTGACCTCAAAGACACCCAAGAGGTATTTCTGAGCCCAGGTATGCACGGCCTGCAGTTAATTCCCACAGAGGGGGTTGAAGAAGCCCACGTATGACCTTCAGGTCTGAGGGTGGCAGCTCCTGCTCTTTCTGCAGATTGCCAGCAGCCAGTGGTTCCTCTGCAGAGAGTCTCCTGGTCTCACCCAGGGCTTTCTCAAGAGTCTTCTCTCTTCATTTAGAGGGCTCCTCTTATCAAAACCAAACTGTGGGCTCTGTCTGTGTTTGATCTCTGTGTTTTCAGGTGTAGAAGCTGAGGCACAGAGAGGTAGAGCGGCCCCAGATTATCCTAGGCAGATAGCTTCTCTTCATCTTACTGACTCCTGAATGGCCTGATTATTTCATTTCATTAAAAATCCTCCTCCCCCTTTCCTTTCCTTTGTTGCTGTTTCCGCAGCACTGGAGGTCACATACACTTGATGTGGTTCTCACACTGTAGTTGTGGTGCTTTCACATGCTGATTTTGTTTTTTAACTGCAGTGCACTCCAGGGGGTGTATGCTGTATACACAACACAACACACACACACACACACACACACATACACACTTTATCACAGTGCACCAAAAATGTACACTCTATTGTTGCAGACAGAGTGTATATTTGTCTGGGGGGTTGCAGACAACAGAATTGCTGGGATTGCATTTGAGATGTAGGGTACGCCATCAAACTCTTTCCAGCCTCAGAAGTTCTTGAGCATTTGCGGGTCTGATACTACACCCTGATTTCTTTAAGACACTGCACCCACCCCATCTTCCAATTAACCAGTGCTATATATCCAACACCTTACCGGTAGCAGCCCCTTGTTTTCTGAGTCCCATGTCCCCTGTAAGCCAAGCCCCTTCCCTCTCTCAGCTGAGTGTTCATCGCTCCAGGCCATGACCAATGAGGTGATATCAGGTCAGAAGAGGGAGGACTGGTTGCCTCTGGTACCTCCACCAACACTGAAGTCAGGGCTATGCTTTGTGCAGAGCATATTCCGGTCACTCAGCCTGCCCCGGAGGAGGATTCTCAGTCAGGGAGGGGTATGCTTCTGGAAAATTCTTCAGAAGCCTGATCAGCTCAGCCCTGTATTAGCTCAGGAAATCCCCCACCATCTCCCCGCCCCCTAAGGCAGGAGGGATCTACCTCCCCCTCTGCTGACCCTTCTGAGTCTCTAATACCCCTAAAGCTGTGTATGTGGAGTGGGGGTGGGCAAGGGCTGTGCCCATAGCATCTACCTGCTATAGCCCAGCTTGGGTAGGGGAGGGGGTCTCCAGCACTGGCTTCCCCCTCACTGGCTTCTCCTTCCTTAGCACCAGACAAGGGTGTTTTGCCTGGGAAAGGCAATACAACCTCTTCAGTCCACATTTTCAGCCGAGGATCTAGGGATAATTTATGCAGCAAATCCCTTTCCATCTTTAATCTGGAGGGCTGGGATGGCGTTGGATGTTGTTGTGAGACCCTTGATTTGATCCCCAGCCCTACCTTGCCTTCAAAAGATAAGGGAAAGAAAGGAACGCTCATTAGTCTTGGGTCCAGGGACGTGCGTGCGTAATGGGAATCTCACATGGGTGGAGATGGGCAGTGTTAGGTTCTGTTTTAGAATTTATAAGCAGGCTAAGTGATCTGGACAGCAAATTCCGGGGGGCACTTCTCGAGAACCTCGCACAATCAGGGGTAACTAAGGGTTTCTCTCTTTGGCTTGGGGACAAACCCTTCTTCTCCTTCCAGAGGCATCTCCTAGAATACCAGGTGGGAGGTTCCTTTTTTGGGGGACAGGCTCTAGCCCCCGCAGTGCTGGCTGCGCGCCTCCAGAAGCCCCTGCAGGGGTTCCTGCCTCTTTGCCCGAAACTCCTCGGTGGCCGGCGCCCCTCGGGGAGGGCCCGGCCGCCCCCGACCCGGGGCACCCGCCCCCCGCGGGGGAGGTCAGGCCCCGCCCCGCGGCGCTCGCCCCGCCCCGGCCGGTCCGCTGCTCTCCCGGCGCGGGGCGGGGGCCGGCGGGGAAGCGAGGTCGGCGCGCAGCTCCCGCTGCGGGTCCTCGGGCGCTGTCCAGGCGGAGCCGGCCCGGCCCGGGCTGCAGCCATGGTAAGGCGGACGGGCGCCGGGCAGGCCGGCCACCTGGGCGGCTCCTCGGGGGCCCGCCGCGCCGCAGCCCCGGCCGTGCGGGGCGGGAGGCAGCTGTGGCCGGCCGCGGGCGCAGGCTGGCACTGCTGGCGGGCGGCACTGCGTCGCCGCTCCCAAGTTTCTTCCCCTGATCTGAGCAGCGGCTGGGGGCGAGGAGACCCTCCGGGCTGGTGGTGCCCGAGTTCTGGCACCGCGGTGGCGAGGGGGTTCCGTGCTGAGGTTAGGGGAGCGCGCGCCTTCGTGTCCAGGAGCCGCGCGCGCGTGGGGGCCGGGAGGGCGCGTCCTCCAGGAGCTGGGAGGCGAGGGTCCCCGCCCCCGCCCTGCTCAGGCGTAGCTGATGCTGTTCCTCACCCACCATCCTGGGCTTTGGGGCCAACACCAGCCTCCTTGGGAAAATGCACGGAGGCGCGCACTGGCTCTGCCAGTCTCCCCAGGAGCGATGGGGGGTGGGGGGATGCTCCGGGCCTTGCAAGGGGCAAGCCGCTGGGCCCTTCTCTCAGTGTCCTGGGTCCAGAGACCCGTGGGAAAGGGCTGCCCAGCTCACCCTCCTCTTCGGTGGGATCAGCTTTATTCGCTTCTTTCCCGTGCATCCTACCCCCAACATTCCCCCACCCCCACACCCCTCCAAAACCAGGCCCTCTGCAGTGGCGGCGGTGGGGGGACTCGTTCCTGCCACCTGCCTGTAAGAGGAGGAGAAACAGTGACCCAGCGCAGCCGGTAGGAAGTTTTGTGTTTGCTGGTGAGGATGCCAGCTCTTGCAGCCCTGTTTTCAGAGCCTGCCACGGACCCGCTGCACCCATCTTAAATTCCATTGGCTCCTGGGTTCTGGAAGCCCTCTGGGCTTGCCCTCTGCATTGGGGGGCACAGGCTGTTGGAATCAGGAGGTGATCTTGGACCCGCCAGGGGGGTGGGGAGGGCAGGATGTTGCTTGGGGGCAGTCATCAAGGGAACCTCCTAGGACCCCTGGAATCAAAAACTTTCAGGTCTGGAAGCCCAACATTTTGGACTATTGTCTCTCAAGCTGTTTCCAGGCTTAGGACCAAGACTTGGCCAGGAAGTTTTGGTGACCCTGTGACCTTCTCCCAAGGGGCTTTCCTGGGAGAGGCCAAGTGGTGCCTGCCTTGATGCTTGCTCCCTTTTTACTCCCCACAGGGGGCGGACAGGCAGATTGTTCCAGGGATGGAAGCCTGGGGAGTGCTGAGCGTCTCCAATGCCAAGCCCAGAGGGTCCTTTATGCCACACACTAAGCTCAGTTCAGCTGAGGTCTTGGTATTCCTTTCTAGCTAAAGACCCCTTCCCGCCACCCACCATCTCCTCCCTCCAGTCCTGATTCCTGATGCCAAATGGTTCATGTCCAGCCAGAGTCCTCCATGAGGGTCTCTGTGGGAGGTCAATGGGGAGCTGCCTAGTTCAGGAGTCCCTGGTGGGGTGGCGAGGGGATGTGCATGGACAAAGAATGACAGGCCAACATCAATAACCATCCTGCAGCCAGACATGCAACTTCTCTCCTCAGACTCAAAGCATCTTAGATACCTGTCTTTTGGCGGTGCTTTCTCCCCTGGCCTTCCTGTGAGGCAGAGGAGAGCCATTAACAGTTTGGACCTTCACACCCTGAAACTAAGACCCTACTCAAGGGTAGGCGAGATGGCTCAAAGGATGCACAGGCTTTGTATGTGGGAGGCCTGGATTCAATCCCTGACACCGCATAGTCCCCTGGCACCGCATAGAGCACTGCTAGGGGTGACTCTTGAGCTCTGAGCTGGCAGTAGGCCCTGAGTTCTGCCAGGTGTGGCTCCCAAATTGAAAATTACACACAATTCAAAATCAACAAGGGTGTCTCTGATCAGACCACAAACATTGTTCTGCTGACTCCTACATGCCCTCTGCTGGGCCCCTCAATTTGTCTGCCACCTAATTGGCACAGAATTCTTAGGGATGGTGGCCTCTCACGGGCCAGAGACCCTGAGAGACCAAGGACCTGCAGCGACCCCCCCACTCCATGTCTGCAGAATTGGGGGGGGGCGGGTGAGGAAGATGATGCAAGTCTCCATGAGTCAAGGGTGGCAGGGAGAAGTCCCTGTAGCCAAGACCCCACCCTCTGTGGCTTAGGGTCTTTGCAGGGAAATCTAGTTGACATGGTTGATGGTGGGGGTGGTCTGTGCCAAGAGAACACTGAGAGAGACTGGAAGAAATATGCGGCAGTTCCCAGGGACCGTTTCCTGTGTCCTCTAGGCCATCTAATGCCCCCTCCTTCCCCCCGTTGGCACCTCTTCAAGTTCAGGTGAAAGGGTGAGATTCAGATGCATTGAGAATGTAGTTAGTGGGGAGGCTGAGCCCGTGTCCTTATGGGTCGGTCACCTTGGTGACAGCCCACAACCCTCAGGCAGGCATTAGTGACCTTGGGGTTAACCGGAGAGGCCAAATGGATTGTGCTGAGCATAGAGGGGGAGGCTGGTGCTGTGCCCACCCGAGTAGGCACCGGCAGGCATCCTAGGACAGCCAATCAGAGCACAGGGGACTGCAGGGAAGCCAGTGATCCTGTTGCAGCTGAGCTGCCCCTGGAGGGTGGGAGCCAAGGAAAGGGGGCAGGGGTGGGGGGAAGGACATTCCACAGGCTTTTTTGGCCTTTGACAGAGACAGGGGGTCAAAGAGAAAGGGAAAGGAGCAAGCCAGACAGCTGGATTACAACAAGCGCATCGAGACCAGGCTGTTTCTGTGTTGAGGACTTGGCCTGGCAGATAAAATTAGACCTAGAGCTGGCCGACAAAGCGTCTGAATCGTGGGACATGGACCGTCCGCTGGGCTGTCCAGGCAGCTCTGTCCCTGAGGACAGGCCTGAAGCTGGGGTAAGGTGCTGCTCGGGGAGGAGGGCGGTCTGGCTCGTCTCCCCCCTGCCTTGGCTGGGATTGATGCTCAAATTCAGAAAACAGTTTGGTCTTTGGCAGAGCTGGTGGCAGAACAGATAGGAGGTGGGGACCCTGGTGTCCCCCCATGCTGAACAGCCAGGGCTAGCAAGGAGAATGGTGTTGGAATCCTGTGGATCTTCTGGGGGGGCCCTGAGGCCTGCCTTCCCCTGCTGCCCCTCTGTCCAGTGCCCCTTGGGAAAACCAGGCAGGGCTCAGGTTTCTTTCTCCCCCCTTTAATCCAAGCCCAGACAACTGCTGGGGTACTGTGGGGTTGAACAGTGGGCACAATTTCCTGGAACACCCCGGCTTTCTAGCTGCCTGCCCACACCTCTCTTGCCATAGAACTAATCTGCCCATGGGGAGCTATATTTGTCTTTGGGTTGGGGATATGGCTTAGCTGCAGAGCTCATGTCTCCTTTGTGTGAGGTCCTGGGTTCGATCCCTGGCCCTTGGGGGAAAAAACAAGGCTGTATTTATTCAGGGGCCAGGCAGATGACTCTGAGAGCCGGAGTGCAGGCTTTGCATACTGGAGCCTTGGGTTCAAACCTAGGCATCACATAGTCAACCCGAGCACCATCAGGAGTGATCCCTGAGCACTGAACTGGGAGTAGCCCCTGATCACCCACCGGGTGGGACCCAAAAGACAAAAAAATTGTTAGGACAACTGATATAAATTGGGATATGATTCAATTCCTGACCTTTGGGGTCGTCCCTAGTCACTGGCTTGGTGAAGACCCTTCTCCCCGCAGGAAGGACAGCTTCACCAAGCACCCCATGAGAAGGTTCGGTGCAGTTCTGCCCCTCTGGGCACTCAGTCTGCGCTGCTGTGCTGGTGTCAGGCAGGAGGGCTGCTTGGGGTGCTGGGGAGCTCCGGAAACCATAGCTGTGAGCAATGCAGGGACCTGAGAGGCTCTCAGGTGACTTTCCTGCTAGCCTCACATAGTCCTATCCTCTGCACCAGTCTAGCCCTGTGTGTGGTCGCCTCCTTCAGGTCCTCCTTTGTGAAACGGGGAGCACATCTCCCATATTCCGGCTGAGGTTCCAGAGTGGTTCGGGGTAGCCCCCACTGCCTTGGCCAATCCCCAGAGGGTGAGTCAGTCTCTGAAGCCAGCTCTTGTCCATTGTCTGGGGGTGGCAAGTGGGCATTGTGAGGCTGAGCCGAGCCCAGCACCGCCAGGCACTTCATCGAGAGGGTTGGCCCCCAGAGAAAATAAGATTTAGGGTTTCGAGCTGAGGTGAGTGTGGAGGAGCGAAGCGACTCTCTTCCAGGCTAGAGTTGGGGTGATCAGATCTCTGCAGAGGACCTGGCTGGTTCTCTGCCTGCCACCCGCCCCGACGATTCAGAGATTTAGGCCAGATGTCTCCTGCCTTGCTACTAAGGCCCAGTTCCAGGCAAAGGGCACTCACAGTCAGGCCCAGCCACCCTTCAGCCGTCTGAGCTCTCCCCTGGCCAGCATTCTCCTGTCCTCTTACCAGTCTCTGCAGCAGCGTCCACAGACAGGTCTGCCCTGCCCTTCCGGGACTTGGGGCCAGCCTCAGTGAGGCTCAGTGTCTGGAATAAAAAGGGTCAGAAATGCTGCAGTGACACCCTCTGTCGCATCTGCGCCCCGTTTCCAGCACACCCCGTCTCAGGTAGGAGGCACAGAGCCCCCTGCTGGCTCCCGAGGGACCTGCTCCCTCTCCTCCTACTCACTCCATTTTCACTGCACCCTTGAAGCTCTAGTGACACTCTCTCTCCAGCTCTATGCCTGTCTGTCCTCCCTAATTCACTCTCACTTCCTGGCCTTTGGGGTGGTCCCTGGCCGCTGATTTGGTGCGACCTCCGCAGGAAGGACAGCTTCATCAAGCACCCCATGAGAAGGAGGGAGTACCTCAGGTCCCAAGACAGTCGCCAGAACTTTGGGGGCTGCCCAGGCCACTCCTAGACCCCCTAGGCTCAGCCGGGGAGCAGTTCCTCTAGCTTGGTTGCACTTTCTTCCCCTCTTTAACCAGAAGCACTTTCCTCTCTCTCCCTCTGACCTTCTCCTGTCTTCCTCCTTTATTCTTCCCTTTCACCCACCTCCCTTCCCAACCTCCCCACCCCCAGATCAGGCACTTCCTGGAGGACACAGATGATAAAGAACTGAACAAGTTCGTGAAGGATTTCCCAGGAAGCGACACCTGCCATCAGCGAGAGGCCAGGCCCCGGGTGGTTCGGCCCCGGCAGGAGCCAAAGCCCCATGCTCCTGACTTCTGCGAGGATGACCCGGAGCTCAGAACCCCCTCGTGGCCCCAGCCCTGTGACAACCAGCAGCACTTCTGTGCCCCAGCCCCCCACAGCCCCTCAGCCCGACCCCGCAGCCCATGGGGCAAGCTCGATCCCTATGATTCCTCTGAGGTAGAGCTGCCAGTCCTGCCTTTTATCTTTGAGCAAACTGGTGAAGACCCAGGGAGGGAACAAAAGGAACGTGTGTGTGTGTGTGTGTGTGTGTGAGAGAGAGAGAGAGAGAGACAGAGACAGAGACAGAGACAGAGAGACAGAGAAGAGACCGAGCAAGTGAGAGAGAGAGAGAGAGAGTGTGTATGTGTGTGTGTGTGTGTGTTTGTGTGTGAGAGAGAGGCAGACAGAGAGAGCGTGAGCGTGCAAGTGCGTGTGTGAGAGAGAGACAGAGAGGCTGAGCGAGTGTGTGTGTGTGTGAGAGAGAGACACAGAGAGAGAGAGAGCGAGAGCACGCAAGTGTGTGTGTGTGTGTGTGTGTGTGTGTGTGTGTGTGTATGTGTGTGCGCTGGGTGTCTGCCTGTCCTGTGTTGGCCCCAGCTCTGTGGTAGTGGCCTCAGCTGACACTGGAAACTTGACAGTATCATCCGGGGCTGGAACCCAGTTGCTGACCCCAGATTGAGCCTCAAAGAAGCTGGACATTTTGATTCAAAGACTGGGCAAAGACCTAGGCGGGAGGGAGAAGGCTAATACCAGGTCCTGGGGCCCCTCTAGCCTCTCACCTCAATAACTTTGCATTTTTGTCCACTAGGATGACAAGGAGTATGTGGGCTTTGCGACCCTTCCCAACCAAGTCCACCGGAAGTCTGTGAAGAAAGGCTTTGACTTTACCCTCATGGTGGCAGGTAGAGTGGGGCTGGGGGTGGGGGGAGCAGGGAGATTTGGGTGGGGAGAGTGTATACATGGGGAGGGGAAACGGGTATGGAGAAAGCAGGTGGCTGTGCCTTTTTACATAGTGGCCCAGAGCCCTAAGGGGGCCGACAGTATAGAAACTCCTCAGAGCAACTCCAGAGGGCCACAGAGCTCAAGGGGCTGGAGCACATGGTCTGTGAGGAGAAGGGCCTGTTTCCATCCTACCCTCTCGTGGTCTCTCCAGCATGATTGCAGTGAGCACTGAGCACTGCTGGGTGTGGCCCCCAAACAAAAACAAAAATATAAAAACAAAACCAACAACAAAGGGCCAGAGATAGAGATCAGAGGGCCAGTACACGTGCTTTGCATGCGGGACACCTGGGTTAGAGCCCTTGTCCGACCTGGTCCCAGGAGCACTGCCAGGAGTGACCCCGAGTATTGTGCTGGGAGTAACCCCTGAGCACTTCCAGCTGTGACCCCCAAACCAGCCAACCAAAAAAACCAAAAAGCCCGCTGCACCCCAAAGTTCTCTATTATTTTCCTCATTCTCCTGGGTAAGCTCTGACCCTCATTGGGCCTTGGGCAAGTAACAAGGCTGGACAAGCTGTTCTCTGGCTTCCTTCTCAGGCTAAATGTTGGTTGATTTCTTCCTAATTAGATAAAGAAAGGGGCTCCCCACCCTCTCCCACCCCACCCATTTTAGTCCAGTGGGTTTTCCCTGCACTATCATCTGATCTTATCTTCTGCCTCTGTCTCCTGACCCCTGTCAGGAGAGTCTGGTCTGGGAAAATCCACCCTTGTCAACAGCCTCTTCCTTACCGATCTGTACCGGGACCGGAAGCTGCTCAGTGCTGAAGGTAAGGGAAGGAAGGAAAGAAGCATGAAGACAGGTGGGCTCAGCCAACTTAGAGAATCAAAGTCCTTCAGAGTTAGCCTCCCCAGCGTGCAGGCGGCTGAAGCTTCCTAGGAGACCAACAGCATCACTCCGGGGCCTATAGCGCCTGGCAGCCCACCAGCTCGTTCCCTAAAGATTTGGGTGCTGAAGGAGGGCAGGGACCAGAATGCTGCTCAGAGTGAGTTTCTGACCCCCAAAGGATTCCAGGAATCCAAGAAAAGAGCCGGGAGCAGAGAGGACGCTGGGGCCAGAGCCAACAGCCACCGGCATTTCCTGTGTTGGGAAATGTGCTACTTGCTGGTTCCCAGAGAACAGGCCCCCCCTTGGAGCTTCAGGGTGGAGAAGGGGAGGGGGGCACCACGTGGATGAGTAGCCTGGGCAGCAGAGCTGGTTGGGGTGCGTGGTTTGTTTTCTTGGTGTGGGCCCTGGCCTCAGTTTCCCCCTTCCCCAGAGCGCATCATGCAAACTGTGGAGATCACTAAACACGCAGTGGACATTGAAGAAAAGGGTGTGAGACTGCGGCTCACCATTGTGGACACACCAGGTTTTGGGGATGCGGTGAACAACACAGAGTGGTATGTCTGGCCAAGCGTGGCCCTGGCGATCCCCACCTCCCCCTTTCTATACACATCCACATCCACAGGCAAGACTGTCCAGAGGAAGAGGGTGGTGATCATGCACAATGTCACTCCCCCTTTCTCCCTTGCTGGTGGCTGTCCCCTCTGTGAAGTGAGAGGGAAAGAAATGGAACAGACTTTTCTGACTCTGCCCTGAATTCTAAAAAAAAAAAAAAAAGCAGAGCCTCAGAGAACAGAAAGATTAATTATTCAGTGCTTAAGATGCGTGCCTTGCATGCACCTGCCCCAGGTTCAATCCCCAGCCCCACATGGGTATAGCCCTAGAAGCTGTGGAAGCCCTGAGCACTGCCGCACTGGCCCTGGGGTCTCTGACGCCACACAACCTGAGCAGAACCGAATCCCCAGGCCCCAGCATTAAATTACCAAGCCTAGTTGGCTGAGAATCACTGTGTGGTCCCCTGGCCTCAGGCTCAAGAGGCTGCCTGTCCCTTCCTCCCCAAAGGAAGCAAAAGACTCAAAAAAGCAAACATATGGCAGGACCTCCCTGATACTTAGTAGGTCTTAAATAAATATCACCTTTCCTTTCACTAGTAATATTTTAGGAACAACAAACAGGTCCCCCTGCCTCGCCTGCCACATGCTGTGGTGTTTGGGATTACTCCCACTTATGGTATTTGAGCTTACTTCCAGCCCAGGGCTGATGACGGGGTGTTGTTCCCTGTGATGCTCAGGGGACCGTGCAGTGCTGGGGATCAAACCTGGGGCATGCTCGAAGCATGTGCATAACCCTTTGAGCTATCTCTGTGGCCCCGCCACAAACAAGTGTTATAGGGATCTGAGTCACTGAGAGAAGGGGTGAGAGGAGAACAAAAAGGTAAAGGAAAAAAATGAGTGGAACTCTTTTTAAACACCAGGAATTCCCTTGGCTGTCTGCCCAAAGAAAAGGTAGTGGGGTTTTTGTTTTGTTTCCAGGAACTGAGGAATGCTTAGCTAATGTCAGACCTAAGTGAGGAGTAGAATGAGTGATAGAGACAGGGAAAAAGATGGTAACTTTCTTGAAGTTAGGCAGAATGCTACAAAGAGCCCTGCTGATCTCCTTGGGCATTTAGTTACTGCCTAGTCTGGAGCCAAATGACTTCCTGTTTCTTCAAACTGAAATATTCCAGTTCTTATACCTCACTTAGTTTAATCTGAAAGCCACCCAGAATGGTGCACATGAATGTACATAAAAAGTTTTTTATATTTGCACTCATGAATTCTAAGATTAAAATTGCAGGATGGGATTGGAACGAAAACATTAAGATTAAGGTATCTATCTGAATTCCAGTAACATATATACTCCCTGAGCAGCACGAGGCATGGCCCCTGAACACAGAGCCAGGCGTGATCCCTCAGTCCATGGGATTGGCAAAAAAAAAAAAAAAATTGCAGGATGGCTGGGGAGATAACTCAAAGGTTGAACATATGCTTTGCATGTGAAGGCCCAGTATGGTATTCAGCACTGTATGGTCCCATGAACACCTCCAGAAAGAATCCTTTAGTGTTGTGCCAAGAGTAGATCCTGAGAACTTCCAGGTATGACCCCAAAATGGAAATAAAATGTAGAAAGTGTAAAATAAAAATATCAGGCCTCTTGTTAAAGTGACGGGCTGGAGTGATAGTACAGCAGTAGGGTGTTTGCCTTACAAGCGGCCAACATGGCCGACCTGAGTTCGATTCCTCCGCCCCTCTCGGAGAGCCCAGCAAGCTACTGAGAGTATCTTGCCCGCACGGCAGAGCCTGGCAAGCTACCCGTGACCTATTCGATATGCCAAACACAGTAACAACGAGTCTCATGATGGAGACGTTACTGGGCCCGCTTGAGCAAATCAATGAAAAACGGGAGGACCGTGACTGTGACCGTGTTAAAGTGATTAAGAATGTGAAGACAGGGCACGGAGTGAATAGTACTGCCAGTAGGGTGATTGCCTTGTACCCAGCCACCCCGGATTTGAGCCCAGCACCCCATATGGTTCTCTGAGCCCGAGCTCCTCTAGGAATGATCTCTGAGCACAGAGTCAGGAGTAAGCCCTGAGAACCTCTGGGTGTGGCCCTAAAACAAAAACAAAACAAACAAAGACAGGGGCCAGAGAAAGTAGCACAGCAGGTTGGCTCTTGACTTGCAGGTCACTGACCCAGGTTAGATTCTTATAATCCACTTTCGTTCCTCAAGCCTTGCTAGGAGTGATCCCTGAGTGAAAAGCCAGGAGTAAGCCCTGCGCACCACCGAGTATGGCTCCCAAATATAACAACAAAGAATTTAATAAGAGCTACAGCCAAGATTGGGTCCTGTTATGCGCATGGGCAGATCCTGGATAACTGCCTCCCACCAGACTGTCCCCACTTCATGTTATCATGGCAGCAGATGGCTCTGTCCCTTGCTTCCTCTTCAACTTCATCATCTAAGCCTTGAGAGAGGACCACCATATCTTACCTTCTTACTCTGTGCTCTGTTAATACACAAATTTCATAAATATTCCTGATGGAGCAAGGGAGCCCCATTTTTCTCACTTTGCTAGGAATAAGCCCAGTAAATCTTGCTTGTTTGCTACTCAACTTTCAGCCAGCACCCTGTTCTATATAGCAAGAACTACGCCTCACAAGTCCCCCTTGCCTCCTACCTTCCATGAGTGACGTTCATTTGCTGAGCACTCACAATATGAGATAGGACACTGCCACAAATAACTCAGTCTCCCGGCAGGAATTTGAGCACCTCCTCACCTGTTCTGGAACTTCCTAGGGGTGCATAGCAGCCAGAGAGAGCTGGTCCTTGAGAGGCCACTGTGTGGAGGCAGTGGTGAGGGATTGAGTGTCTCAGCTCTCCAGCACGTGTCAGTCAAGTAACAAGGTAGTAAATGGTCAGGTGGGAGAGTGGCAAACAGTTATAGCAGAAATAATTGACTCCTAAGGGCAAGAAGTGATAACACTGCCAAGGATTTAGATGGGTAGGGAATTGATGAGTCCTAATGATGTGGATTGAGTCTCTTAGTTGTTGAGTTTAGCTTCTTAATGCATAAAGGGAAAGTGATGACTCATCATGTCCACCTTCAGGGCACTAATCAGTGAGGATTATTTAAACTAGGTAATAGAGAATAACAATCTGCTCACAAGCCTCTACTTTCATATCTGTCTGTCACTGTGTGGTAGGAGAAGGTGAGGACAGCGAGAAGTTAGCATAGTTGAGAGAGCTTTGTGGAAGAGGCAGTTCTTGGACAGCCTTCAAGGATGATGCAGGTTTGGTGAAGTAGAGAAGAAGATGGAAGCAGATGAACAAAGGCTCTGAGCTGGTCCCCTACTTCCCACCTTCAGACTCCATACAATTTTTTCCCTTTCATTCTTCCCCCCCTCCTCCTTGCCATTCTTAGTATTTTTGTTTATATTCTTTGAGGGGGAGGGGCACACATGGTGTTCAGGGCTTACTCTTGGCGCTGCACTCAGGAATTACTGGAGGTGCTTGGTGGACCATATCTGGTGTTTGAGTTTGATATGTCTATCAGCCTGAGGTTGTATAAGGTGCACCCCATCTCTCCCTATAACCGTATTGGATAGCAGAGTTACACAGTTCAGGAAGCCCCTGCTCCCACCATTTCTTTGCTTATCTGTTCATGTCCCAGCTGGAAGCCAGTGGCAGAGTACATCGACCAGCAGTTTGAGCAGTATTTCCGAGACGAGAGTGGTCTGAACCGCAAGAATATCCAAGACAACAGGGTGCACTGCTGCCTCTACTTCATCTCGCCCTTCGGTCATGGGTAGGGCCCAAGCCTGGGGCTCCCCTCCCAAGGGCAGGGAGGCCATTGGCAGAAGGTCATAGTTTCTGTTTTCCAGGCTCCGGCCACTGGATGTGGAGTTCATGAAGGCCCTGCACCACCGGGTTAATATTGTGCCCATCCTGGCGAAGGCGGACACACTGACACCTCCTGAAGTGGAGCGCAAGAAATGCAAAGTGAGGGGGGGAGGGGATACAAGAGGGAAGAGAACAGGTGGGCTGTGGAAACACTGGGTTCCCAGAACTGTGGGTCCTTCATGTGTTTGCCAGATCCGGGAAGAGATTGAACACTTTGGGATCAAGATCTACCAGTTCCCAGACTGTGACTCTGATGAGGATGAGGACTTCAAATTACAGGACCAAGCCCTAAAGGTGGGGCTCCCAGGGAACCTGTCTCATCTAGTCTCTTTCGGGCAGCAGAGGGGTTCTGTGTAATGTGGGCAGGGAGCAGACCTAGGCTACAAGATGAAGCAGAGTGGATAAAGATGCAGGTAGAAAGAAACAAGTGAGGGCTGGAGCGATAGCACAGTGGGTAGGGCGTTTGCCTTACACGCGACCAACCCGGGTTTGATTCCCAGCATCCCCATACGGTCCCCCAAGTACCGCCAGGAGTAATTCCTGGGTGAAGAGTCAGGAGTAACCCCTGAGGACCACCAGGTGTGACCCAAAAAGCAAAACAAAACAAACAAACAAAAAAACTAGTGAGAGGTTGGAGTGATAATATAGCGTAGGTGCCTTGCAGAGCTGACCCAGGTTCGATCCCTGACAACCAATGTGGTCCCCCGAGCACTGTCAGGAGTAACTCCTGACCACAGAGCCAGGAGTAGCCCCTGAGCATTGCTGGGTGTGGCCCAAATGCCAAAGAAAGAAAGGAGAATGGGGGCTGCTGATCAGTACCCCTGACTTCTTCCAGGAAAGCATCCCATTTGCTGTAATTGGCAGCAACACCGTGGTAGAGGCCAGAGGGCGGCGTGTTCGGGGCCGTCTCTACCCCTGGGGCATCGTCGAAGGTAAAGCACAGAGCTGGTGACAGGGTTTGGGGGATATCCTAGCCCTCCCCAATGTCCCTGCCTGACCCCTAGCCTTGCTATGCAGTGGAAAACCCTGGGCACTGCGACTTTGTCAAGCTGAGGACAATGCTGGTGCGTACTCATATGCAGGACCTGAAGGATGTGACGCGGGAGACGCATTATGAGAACTACCGGGCACAATGCATCCAGAGCATGACACGTCTGGTGGTGAAGGAGCGGAACCGCAAGTATGGCTGGGAGCCAGGACAGCTGGCAGGGGGGCGCCCAAGTGAAGCCTTGGGTGAGACCAAGCCCTTCTTTGTTCTTCTACAGGCTCTAGGCTCAAATCCAAGCAGGTGCTGGGGTCCCCCTAGCCTTACCAACCCCCCCTCTCCCCTTCCCCTCAGCAAACTGACCCGAGAGAGTGGTACCGACTTCCCTATCCCCGCTGTCCCGCCAGGGACAGATCCAGAAACTGAGAGACTGATCCGAGAGAAAGACGAAGAGGTGAGAGCAGTTTGGGGTGGCAGGGCGGAGGGGCTGTCTTAGAGGACCTTGCTTGATCAGACACCTCAGTGCCTGAGTTAGGACAGGAAGATCCCTGGCTCTGGTGCACATCTGGGTCCAGGACTGAAGGGGGCGTTGGGGTGTGGCTAATTTCTACCCAGGGTCTCCCTGAGGGCTCCATGGCTCTAAGGGGTGGTGGAGGTTTAGCTTCCTTAAGGTAGAGGACTAGGACTTTTGATGCATGTGCCTCTTCCAGCTGCGGAGGATGCAGGAGATGCTGCATAAAATCCAAAGACAGATGAAGGAGACCCATTAGCTGGCTTTCAATCCGGATATTTAAATATACTCTTGATCCTGCCTATGCCGGCCCCTCCCAGCACCAGCTCTGCTCAGGCCCCTACAGCTACTGCCACTTCGCCTTATATCCCTGCTGCCTCCCCAGAGACTCAGAGGAAATAAAGTTTAACAAATCTCTATGTGCCTTGTGGTGTCACTGTCCAGATCTTTACTTGCTCTTCTGAAGACGGAGACAATCCGAGCATCCCTTGTGAAAGGCTGCATGTGGAAGGCTGGTGCTGCCTTGTCTTTTAGCAGGGAGGGGAATGGGAGGGACAGGGACTGTCCCCGGTCTTCTAGTTATCCTGCTTTTATTATCTGCGGCCCTGTCCCTCTTCATTTTTCCCACACAGAATTTTCGATCCCATGGCAATTTTGGATCTGAGACCTGCCTTAAGGAAAATAGTGGGTTTTAATTGTAGAAGGCCTCCTGACTCCTTGTTTGCCAGGGTCCGGGGGAAACGAAGCTTGGCACTTTAGGAAACCTGTGCTAGAGCCTGGGACAAATGTCGATGCCCCGGCAATCCCCAAACACTTCAGTCGACGCTGGGAGTGGATCAAGACCTGTCCACTGTTCTGGCAGGGCTGAGTATTCGTTTAACAAACATTAAGCATTGGCCCTCGCAGGCTTCTAACACTCTGGTCCTGTAGTGACAGCGTGGACACCGGCAAGGTTCCTGGAGTACGTCTTCCAGTGCTCTAGAAACAAAGGCGCGAGAAGACCCCGGAGCCGGGCATGATGGCCTCTGGGTCCACCACAGAACTGAGGCGCTCGACTGAGCACCCTGAGTCACCAATTTTGCACTACATCTGTGGCAAAATGTAGTTCGTGGTACCGCGGGGCTCCTGCGCCCTCCAGCGGACCCCGGGCGCGAGGATGGGCGGGGCAAAGAGCGAGGCCCGCGGGAGAGTCCGGTTCGCCGCTTCCTTCGTCCACCAGGAGGTGGCGGCCTCCGACTCAGGATTGCTGACTCCTAAGCACTAGACGGAAGGCCCCGCTCGGGACTTGAAGGTCCGCAGGATCGGCTCGCCGGTGAAAACGCTGAGGGTCGGAAAATCCGCCACAGCTCCCCGGAGGCCGAGTTAGGATTTCGGGCCTTGCCCTTTTCGCGTCGGGAGTCTTTCCTTTCACCGAAGCCATGGCACAGGACGACCGCGGCTCACAGAAAAGGGAAACGCTGCCGAGGTGCCGAAAGAGATCGACTCGAGAACTTCCCCCCGGCGAGGACGTCACCGGAAGTGCCTGCCTGACCCGCGCCCCGACAAGGCTCCGCCTCCAATTGCGCTACCAGTAGGCGACAGCTGCCCCCACTTCCGGCCCCTGGAGCCTTAACCAGCAGCCCCCCTTTTACCGCCCTCCCATTGGCTGCCGCAGGGACGCGCTGTGATTTCCCATTGGCCGCTTCTACTCTCCAGCGCCGCACCGCCTCCCTCCAGTTACGGACTCATCAGCGAACACCCGATTGGCTAAAAACGGGGAGGGCGTCTGCCCAACTTGACCAATCAGAGGTGTGAGCAGTGAGGGCGGCGGCTGCGTGGTGGGGGGCTGGGCGGGACTTGGTGTGGCTATTGGCCAGGGCGGGCACAGAACTGAGACACGATTGGCTGGAGAGAGGGGCGCCATGGTGGGGTAGGAGCTGCGCGGCCTCAGCAGCTGCAGGAGACGGAAGTGGTGAGAGCGCGGCCTCGGAGGGTCGGGCGGACGCCGCCTGGGTGAGTCACCGTGCCCCGTGTACTGCCAGCCTGGAACCGCAAAGGCTGCCTCTTGCCCGGCCCCGCCCCGGCCCCGCTGGCTTTCGTGCGCCCCGCCCTCTGTCACTCGGGGCTCCGCCTCCGAGTCTTTAAGCCCCGCCCCTAGAACCTGGGCTCCCCTGCCATCCCGGCCCGCCCCCCCACCCCTACTCCGCAGGGACCAGATCCCCTGGATCTGGGAATCTTGGGAGCCCCAGGCCTGGCCCTTGTCTCTCTGAAGCTGCGTGCCAGTGGGCGGTGAGGCAGCACCTATGACTTGCTACGTGCTGACTTCCCCACGAGGGAAGGTGGGCTGTGATCAGGGAGGCCGGCAGGACCATCGATAGAGGCTTTTATCAGCCTTGCATGACGCTCTCTGGAAAGCCCCTGAGCTCACGAGTAGCTGGTGGGAAAGAGGCAGTGAAACCTGGGCCTTTCTGAGTGGCTCCAGGAGTGGGCCAAGGAGGCCAGCCCATCCTGAAATTTCTGTGGTTTACGCCCATTTGACAGGGACTGACTCAGGCCTGGGCAGGCCTGATTGGGTCCCTATTGTGTGTCTCCTACTACTAACCTCTGTCCCACTTCCAGTACACCGAGCAGGACCTGTCCAGCCTTGCTTTCTTCTGATCATTTGTGGTCCCCTCCCTCTCGTCCTCTACTCTGGACTCTGCCCCCAGCGAACAGGTCAGGTGGGTGCTGTGTCCAGACTGAGAGGCTAAGAGATCCTTCCTGCAGATTGACGTCTCCACACGGCCATTTACCTTGGCTGGGCTGCCTCTGCCTCTTCAGTTGGGAGTTCTTCACTTTCCCATGAAGAACAGGGCTAGGAATGTTTTCCCTCTGGGTCTGCAGATCAGAACCCAGAAGTTCTGCAGAATAGTCTTGGATGACCCATTCCCACTGACATTGTGGCTCACTGCAGGACCTGCAGACTCACTTGTTGCTTCACCAGTATGGAGCTCCACTGCTTTGTAATGGTGACTGAGGAGAGACTGGATTCTCAGTGAAGAGGGGCTTAAGAGCAATAGAGAAGCTCCGAGATAGATACGTGATATTTGTTGGTAATGTGAATGGTGCCCTTTACTCTTAATTTTGCTGTTTCTACAGTGAGAAGCAGGCATCCAGGACCCTCACCCCGGTAGAATGGTGAGTACTCCTTTTCCTCTGACATTGTTCCTTCTTGTAGTACATGATTGTTTTTTTGTTTTTTTTTTTTTTGCCCAAACTCGGTGATGCTGAAGGGTTACTCCTGGCTTTGCACTTGGATCACTCCTGGTGGTGCTCAGCATATTGTATGGGATGCTGGAGATCGAACTGGGGTTGGACTTGTGCAAGGCATGCACCCTACGTGCTGTACTTTCGCTCCAGTTCCCATCGTCCTTATTTTTCTCAGTGAAACTGCCTTACCTTTCCCATATCTTAAGCTCCAGGCTATTCTGTTCAGTTCTTGAAAAGATTCATCTACCATGGAGATAAATGAAAGTTCCTTTTAGATTGAAAAACATCAGCTACTGTCTGGCACTGGATCAGGAAATCTCTGGAAGTCTGTGTGTGCTATGATGCTTTCTCCATATTACCACTGACTCTTTCAGCTCTTTATAATGGTGCTATGGTGCGCCTCTTGTTTTCCTTGGGTCCCTGGTAGAAGCTCTCTGTCCTCTTCTGAAAAGCAAGGCCTCTTTTTTCTTAAAGCTGTATATTACGATTGACTCTGCCAGCCCAAGGTGCTACTCTCGGTTAAGGTATTATAGGTGAGAGTTGACTGATTATCAAGGTAGGTAATAGCGCAAAGTGCCGAGAATTTCACTGGGGTTTGTGTGTGTCTGTTGTTATTATTAAATTTTTTTTTCTTTTTGAGTCACACCCAGTGATGCTCAGGGGTTCCTGGCTTTGCACTCAGGAATTATTCTTGGCGGTGTTTGGGGGACCATATGGGATGCCAGGGATCAAACCCGGGTCAGCTGTGTGCAAGGCAAATGCCCTATCCACTGTACTATCGCTCCAGCCCCTAAATATACATTTATTTTCTGGGCGAGAGCAGCAGTATAGCGAGTAGGGAATTTACCTTGCATTGGGCCAATCCGGGTTCCATCCCCAACATCCCATATGGTTTCTCAAGCACTGCCAACTGCCAGGAGTTGTTCCTGAATTCAGAGCCAGGAATAACCCCTGAGCGCTGGAGTGATAGCACAGCGGTAGGGCGTTCGCCTTACAAGCGGCCAACATGGCTGACCTGAGTTTGATTCTTCCGCCCCTCTCGGAGAGCCCGGCAAGCTACCGAGAGTATTCGATATGCCAGACACAGTAACAACAAAGTCTCCAATGGAGACGTTACTGGGCCCGCTCGAGCAAATCGACGATCAACGGGAGGGCCTTTACCTTTACCTTTACCTTATGTCTGAGTGTGTTACCTTCCCCTTTCCCCCCACACATACCCTAGAAAAAATATTTATTTCCATGCTGGAGAGATAGTACTGTGGGTAGGGTGCTTGCTTTGCACAGGGCTGACCTGGGTTCAATCCTTGGCGCCCTATATGGTGCTCTGAACAGTGCTAGAAGTGATCCTGGGCACAAAGCCAGAAGTAAGCCCTGAGCATCACTGGGTATGGCTCCAAATCAAACAAACAAAAAGTATATTTCCCATTAATTATAAATGTTCTTCTTTTACCCTGTGTTTAGTATTCTTAAACTTTTAAGAACTAGTATGGGGAAGCAGTGAGGTGTGAAAGTGGCAGAGTTGTGGGCCAGATCAGGTGCTCAGTGATGCTTTCTCCTGTTCTTTCAGGCATGCACTGTGCTCGGGGGCAGGTTAGGAAAATCATGCGGTGAGGGAAATCCCCTCGCCCCCTTCTATAGGAGTGTGTCTGTGTATGTGTGTTGTGTGTGTGTGTGTGTGTGTCTGTGGTCTCTCCTGCAAAAGGGATGACCGCTCCTCCCACGCCTTTCTGGTTTGTTTTTGGGGTGACATTCGGCTGTGCTCCAGGCTTATTCCTGGCTTTGTGCTTAGGGCTCATCTTGGTGGTGCTCAGTGACCATATAAGATTCTGGGGATTCTCTCCTTTTTTTTTTTTCCTGTACCCTGAAAAGACAATGGGCTTGAATAAGCTTGGCCTAATTTTGAATCCTCTTATCACTAAAATACTTAGGTAAATTGCAATCTCATATGGATCAAGTTTATCTAGGATAGTTGAAAGGTTGTGTGGTCAGGTGTGAAACACATCTGGTTCATAGACCAAAATGCTTACTAAATGTTAGATTTTTCTCCTGTTCTCCCTTCCCCTTAAATTGACAAAAGAAAAACCCTGATTTCTGAAAGTTACCTGGCACAGCCAGCCCCTTTTGTGGTTCTTGGTGGTATTTTGAGCCTCTTTTTACTGCTTCTCATTTCTTGGCCCACCACCTAACTCCC